TGCTTGAAATGAAGACAGGGAACAAATATGACAAAAATATTAACAGTTGTTAATCCTGGTGGATGATAATTTACATGTTGGATTATTCTTTGGGTAATGTCTGAATTTTTCCATTTTCTCAAAAGAAAAACGAAGTTAAAGAATGGAGAGAGATAGGAGGCAAACCAGGAGAGAGAGCTTCATGGGGGAAGGAATGACTGTGTCTTCATCATTGCTGAGAATTCAGATAAAATAAAAACTTTCAAACGTCCGCTACATTTACTCTCATGGACGTCACTGAAGATTTTAACAAAAGCCTTGTCAATGGAGCCCTGGGAACAGAAGCCAGACAGGGGTGAGGAGACAAGGAAACGGGCGAGGAGGAAGTGGCGAAGGTGACTGTGGACAACCCGTGGGGCTGTGTGGCTGTGAAGACAGGAGAGGGGGGACAGCTTGAAAGGAACAGGGGATCTAAGCCGGCCTGGTTTCTGAGATGTGGGAGACAGAAGCTTGTTTACAGGCTGATGGGGAGTTGCAGGAGGGTGGAGACAGTAAGACAGAATTTCTGAGAACTTGTAAAGGAGAACAGGCGGAGAGACTGGCCTCCGATGGAGGGAGAGACACTGCCTCACCATAAGAGATATGTAGAAAATAATGAGTACAGAAGCAAAATATTCCTATCCGATAGACTTCCCCCGCCCAGGGAAGCCAGGGGCAAGGAGGACACAGCCTCTGGTTAAAGGGGAGAAAGCTGGAGACTGAGAGAAAGGGAAGATGAGGCAGTGCTGAGGGTCCAACCCAGTTTGATAACTGAATGTACCCCTGCTTGCATGTGTGCTTTAATTTTTTTTTTTAGTGGGTTTCAGCTGCCCAGTGCAACAGCAGAGAAGGCTGATATTTACATAATTCAGGACTGGTTTTTAGTTAGGTGGGTGTGACCAAAAGATAGAGGCGCTAGGGAGCTGAAAGTGTTCACAAAAGAGATTGTTATTCTGAAGCTGCTGGATAGGGAGGGGAGTGAGAGGAGAAAGTGGATGGACAGAGACAGAGTGGCAAGACCCAGGGCTGGAGGTCTTCATGAAATCACAGTGAGTGCAGAGGGTGTGTCTAACAAGCAAGCTGGGAAGAGAGGAAGTTGTGACTGCAGAGTGGGATGAAAGCAATCGTGACTTAAAAGATCCTTCTAATGATAAGATCCTTTTCTAATGATAAGGCTAATCAGGAAGCGGGGGTGGGGGGTTGCTCCCCCCTGAGGTGATGGGGGGCGGGGAAAGGATGGTGTAGATGAGGGATAAGATAAACTGAGAAGCAGAGGGTTGGTGGTTGTGGGGACACTAACACTTCCATGAGTGGTGACAGTTGATGGGACCAATAAAAGGACAGTATGCCTGATACTACTAAGTCTTTGAAAAATGGTGTAAAAATGAGGTCTGTGCATGACAGCACCAACGTATTTTTAGGGCACAACCTCCAAAAGTTTGGGAGGTTTTCCAGAGGAGCAATGGTCTGAGAAACAAGGGCACCTACCTCACTTTCCAACACTGGGATAAATGGGCAAGAGGGAAAATAAACAGACCTACCAGAAGGGGCTGGGGAAAGCAGTGTTCTAGAACACAGCCAGGATTCCTTGTGTCAGTGGTTCTCATCCCCAGCTACACTAGAAGCATCCAGGGAGTTTAAAAAATACCCATGCCCACATCCCATCTTAGATTGGTAACTCAGAATCTCAGGAGCTCCGGGATTTGTGTCACTCACTGCTTCCCAGTAGTTCTAACATGCAAATGAATTTTAAAACCACTGATTTAAAACAAGGAGGTGAAGACAAGGAAAGGGACTTTGATGAAGGGATTGTAGACACAAAGCAATCTCCTCATTAGGATAGATAATGGCCTGAGGCACAAGCCAAACTCCCTGGAGTGTCCCCCAGGAGATCATACTCACAAGGTTTGAGTGGTAAGTGCCAGCAGACGCTTCTCCAGAGTTCACTACTCCCTTTTGTCTTACAGCAGAGATTCCGATCAGATAGCTAGATGTGGTCTCCAAGAGGATCCTGTGTGACTTTTCTATGTAACGTTCCTCCATACATTTCCCAGGTGATATGAGGGAAAGCAGGTGCTGCCAAACAAGCATTTATTGAAGAGGAGTTGTTACGAGGCTCTCCCAGCACTGACACGAAATAAGCCATGTCTTTCCTCTGTGCCTCCATCTGACTCAGTAAAATGTAGTAGTAGCATTGGTGTGGAGGATGACAAGCATGACAACAACACTAGTTAACTGTCACAGACCAGTGTCAGGACCTACAGTTGCGGTTTACAAGTGACTTGTGCAAGATAACCAACTAGTACCTCACATAACCAGTTGGCCTCCAACTGGTTAGACTAAGTCCTTCCTCACTCCACTTCATGCTCCTTAACTACAAAGTAGCCTAAATTTCCTTCCAGTTTCAACACTCGGTGATTCTTTAGCTCCCATTGGCTTTCTTACGCCTAAGAGACAGGGTAGATTGCAGAATTCAAAGGATTTGGGGAGCTGCACTTTTACTGGAAAGTTAAGGCAGGCTTCTGGAAGTCGGTCTGAAGAGCACAGAAGGGGAAATGACATCATGAGGTTTCCTCAGCCTATTCCCCACAGGTGCTCCCCTGGGGCTTCAGAGAGCTACACAATAGCTTGCTTTTTAATTCCCGTTCCCGGAGCCACCTCTCTCCTCCAGCAGGTAGACAGGTAATCTCACCTGGATGGTGAGACTTCACAATCTAGTAATTGCCAGAGAGATTCTGGGTGGTATTTTTTAGCGGAGTGAAAGTTAACTCAAATTATTTTCTTTTTGTATTCTAATTTTAAATTAGGTAAATTTAATCTCGCTTCTTGGCTCAGCGTTCCTGCAAATTAAACATGCAACTATTAATGAAAATAATTTCCTTTTAAAAATATATCCTGAAACTCGATGTGGGGCATTTCCAATATATCCATAAAGCAAACAAGACAGCTTAATTGTTTGTTTCACCAAGGGAAGAAGCTAAACTCGGAATTAATTTGGTTCAGCCTGTGAAACAATTCGTTTGCTCTGCCTAATTCTGCCAATTAAAGAACTTTTCTCAGACACAATTAGCATGTAAATCAGCAGCAAAGCGAATAAGGGCGCCTCGGCGGCCCGGGCCCGGTGGAGATGCCTTTCCGGGGAATCGCGAGGACCCTCGGGTTTAGGGACTGTCCAGGGGTGCAAGGAGGAGCTCGGGGGCCCGATTCGTAGTGGCCCTGCAGCCTCTAGCCGAAACCTGGGTGTTAAATAGCGCAGCCGAGGATGTGGCCGTCTCGGCCCGCCAACGCCCTTTCCCCCGCTCCCACCCGGATTCGAAAAGGACCTCCACGAGCCCGCCAGGACCAGAGCTGCGGAACCTCACACCAAGCCCACCGCCTCTGTGCCCCAGGCCCCTCCCTGAGCAAGCCCCGCGCTTCCCGGGGACTGCGCGCGCACCTAGGGCCGCGCCCCCTCATAGCCGCCGAATCTGTAGCGGATTTTGTTCGGGGAAAGGTGGGGATAGCGGCCCCTGCTGGCATCTCTGGTGAACAGCAGAGGCTGACTTTCTCCCTTAACTATTTCCCCCACCTTCTCCAGATAGTTTGTGGAAATAATAATAATATTTACACATGTATGGTGTTGCCGCATGTGCATTTATTCTTCGTGAGTCCTCATGAGCAGATGTCTGTACGTAACTTGGGTTTCCAGCGGGACCCACAAAAAAGAGAACAGGACGCTTATTCGTGACCCTAGCACCAACTGGGGAACAGGTACTCAGGTACTGTTTCTAAAGCATTTATTTGAGGGCACTCGGCCTAAGGGTGAATGAGACCCCCGATCTCCCTCTCAGTGTTTTTCTTGGCCGACCCCATGACTAGTAAATACTGCTTCGAGAACTGCTTGGCCGCCCAGTGTCACGTTCCCTAAAGGCCGTGGGTACGGCCCACACCGTCTGCGAAGACCACTTAGGAAGCAGCGGCCAAGGAGCGCAGTTGTTTGCACAGCGAGGGGGCGCGGCGGGGAGCGCTCAACGGACGGGTTTGGGGGACTCGGTGTGGCCAGACCAGTTGGCACAAGCCTGTAACAGCAGCAAGGCTTTTTGGCGAATGAACGTTCAAACGATGGAGGAAGGCTGTGCCTGCCATTCGTCGTGGGATCACTAACAATAGCGCCTTGGAAGAAGTTGCGATTTACTTTTTCCGTGAAGCTGTTGGATTCTCATGGAAATTGTTTGCGTCTTATTTCTGAAGTTTATTTAGTGCGTCTTATTTCTAAGAACACCCTACACACTTTCTAGATTTTAAAACAGATAGTCGTTAACACTATTCTTTGTACTATGGTTTATTTGCTTACTTAACATGCTTTATTAACGTGTTGTATGTGCGTTCAGTCGTAGCTGTGTTCCTAGCTACGAAGCGTATTTCTAACCGCACCGGCTCTTTTACCCAATTCAGCTGGGTGCGTAGAGCGCCCGTCACTTCGGCGACCAACCTCTTGATACAGTAATCAGAATTACAAAGGCTTGCCGTTCACTTACCCTTATGCTTTAAAACTTTTCCATTTAAGAAAATCGATGAACAAATTCTTTCTTGTAACTCACTCCTGCACTACGTTTATTTTTTATTTATTTTTCTAATTTGGCAGGACTCAGCAATGCTGTCCGGGATTTCCCCCCGCCCGTCCCCTCCGCCTTGCTAGTACTGATGCGGGCAAAGGGGGGACAAGGGCCGGGTTCCTGCCAGAGTCGCACCCGCTGGGACCTCCGCCCAGTGCGCGCGGAGGTGCCGGGTATCGCGAAGGAAGGAAGCCTCACTGGCCAGTCGGTCCCAGGCTCCACCTGCCGCCACACCGCGTTGGTTCTCTCCATCTCGCTCACTCGCATTCACACACACCACCACAGCTCTCCTTTGGGTCGGAGAAGACGCCAGCTAAAGGAGGCGGGGTTGCAGGAGAGTCCGCCGTGCGTAATCCAGTCCGGGACTTGGCTCCGCCCGGGAGCGGCAGCCTCTCTGGTGACAGAGGAGTAGTGAGCGGCACCGGGTGAGGCTGCAGCCAACTCCGCTCCCCGCGCACTCGGCTGCCCAGGCGCTCGGGACCCAGCGGCGGCGCTTTCCCCCGGGGCTGACCGCCCGCGATGTCCGCTTAGGAGCGGCGGCAGCGGCCAGCGTCGCCACACCCGCAGCTCAGCGCTCCCGGTCGCGGAACGGGGCCAGAGGGTGCACCCTTGCCCCAGCCCCCACCCCGCCCCCCACCCTGAAATGACTTGTTAATCGGCGCAGACACTACCGAAGGGACTCACTGGAGTGGAATCCAAGTGGAATTTGGATTTGGAGAAGAGTTTCTTGAACGTTACTCCTTCCTTGTTGTCTTTTGCTTTCTTTTTTTTCTTCTCCCCTTCTCCGCCTGTCATTGGAGATGAACACAGAGCGTTTGCATCCCAGAAAGTAGTCGCCGGACTGTTATCCCTAAAGAGGCAAGCACACATGTAGGAATGACAAAGGCTTGTGAAGGAGAGAGCGCAGCTCGCGGCCCGGAGAGATCCCCTCGATAATGGATTACTAAATGGGATACACGCTGTGCCAGCCCGCTCCGAGCCCCGGCTGCCTACCCGTCGATGCACCGAAAAGGTACGCTGGGGCGTCCTGGCGCGCTCCACCTCCCAGGCGGCTCGGCTCCAGCTTGCGGGTCTTGGGGCCGCAGCCGGCACGCGCTGCCTGCTTTATGGTACCTACGTTTTATTTTATCTCGGGTGTCTACCTCCCGAGCGTGGCCCGGCCTTGGGGACGCAATCGTGAGCCCTGCTGGCCGCTCCTCTCTGCTCTGAGCCGCAGAGACCGCCAGGCTCCGTGTTTACGGGCTTCCCCACCCGCGCCGCGCACTAGCCCGGCGCCGCCCGGGACCGCGACCGCGACCGCGAGGACGGTTGTCTGGCCCGGGGATGTGTGTGCAGGACCCGGAGCTCGTCCTCACTTTTGGACCTGGAGGAAGCAGAGAGGGCCCATGAGGGTGGGATTCTCGGAAGAGCCCTCCCTGTCCTGGTGCGAAAGAAGGGAAAGGGGTTCTGCCCTCGAGAGGTGAGAGGTTGGGTAGAAGAGCGCCGTTTTCGCTCAGCACCAGGTTTGGGTTCTGGGTTGGGAGAACGGGTTCCGCAGAGACGGTGGAAAAGCGAAGAGAATCTTTTGTTGTACGCACGGGGTTTGGGCTGGGCTCTGTGGAGTGCAGGAAACTTGTAATGGCCCTGGCACCCGCGCGCCCTGCCACTTGGTGACATCCCGGTTTCCGCGGCCGCTGGCACGAGAGGTTTCGGGCTTTGTTTGCTCGAATGAGTGCCCAGGAGCTGTCTCCTCCCGGTGTGGTGCGGCGCCCCCGCCCTCGGCCCTGTCCCTCGCCGCAGCTCCCTCCTAGGCGGTGAGGACAGCACCCGTCGCGGCTGCGTTCTTTCCCTCTAGACCGATAGGACTGCTGCCCGCCGCGCCCTTCTCCAGAATCTATGAGGTCCCTCTCTGGAAGGAGGTTCCCGGGAGGTGGAAGAGTGGAAAGACCTGGCAAGAGATGGCCCAGTTCTTGCTACCCAGACAAGGGCTCTGCCCCAGCCTCAGGTTCTGGTTGTCGGAACTACTAGCTTGGACCCAGAGGGTCGCCTCTAGGTCTGCCTCGCGGGCACCTGGAAGCAGCCTGACAATGCCCGCCCACCTACAGGACCACACTGGGGTGGGAAGTGCCTCTTCTCTGTGTGCTCTGCTTTTCTACTCAGCTCTACACTGTGGCACACGGTGCAAAGCAGGATCCTGACGTCCCCTCCCTCCTCCCACAACCCGAGCGGTATAGGGGGAGCCAGGGAGCTTGTGAGTGTCGGGAAAGGAAACTGGACTCTGCTGTCTTTCCCGCTCCCTCTCCGCCTCTCCGCCCCTCGGTCCAGCGCCTCCTCCTTCTTTTCCAGCGTGGGTCACTCGACTAGGCGCTTGTGGAAAGTTTCTCTGAAAGCCAGGGGCGGCGGGCACGACGGGATTGGGGCTCAGTATGTGCAGCCTGCGAAAACGGAATGCCAAGGAAGCAGGTGGGCAGCCCACAGTGTGGTTAGGAGCTAGATGCGGGCCCACTGGCGGACAGTGGTCCGCTGGGTTGGGGTCGCAGCGCTGCACTTGCTAGACCAATGTCTCAAGCAGTAGAAGGAGAAGTTCAGGATCGGGACTCGGGATGCCGTTGCTGCCCCTGTGGCCATCGTCTGGCGCGCGGGTGTGTGTGGGCATTCTTGGGGCGGGCTGGTTTGCCATTACCAGCCCCAAGCGCACATCCCAGCCTCCTGCGCTCCACACGCAGTTTCCCAGTTGGCGGGTGTCTAGGGAAGAACAGAGCAGGTAGCCTGGTGTGCGTGCAGAGCGACTGGAACCTCTGTCTTCACAGCCAAAGCAAGCATTGAAGGGGTGGCCTCCAGCCTATATTGCACCCCTCCAGCCCTTCGGCGCCTGTCCTTGGGAGAAAGGTGGTTGCTTTGGGGATGCCGTGGCCAGACATGGCCACGGTGGGAACACTCCCTGTTTATGCTGGATGGAAATCAAGTTGCTACTGAATGTGATCCGTGAAAGGTTTAAAAACACAGGCGCGCACAACACACACTTTCTCACACTTGTACGCACAACTTAATTTTTTCCTCAACTTGGAAAAAATCTTTGACCCTGTTGCAGTGTCCTGCCAGCGGGTCTCAGAAAAGCTATTTGATGTTCCCCGCCCACACCACCCCCACCCCCGCACCCCCCAGCGCTGGTTTTAAGACTTTTCCAAGTAGGAAGTATGAGCACCTTTGCCTTGCCTTTCTCTAATCTTGATAATTGTCCGTTTTTTCTTGGGCGTGAAGTCCTCAATTTGCCACTGATTGGGGGGGGGGGGCGGGCACTGTTGGTTCTGGATACATGAATCCTTTATTTAGTCCCCCCCCAAAAGTAAAGATAATGAAAATACTTTAGTTTTTACACCGTGTCCAATTGGCTACTAGAGGTCAAGATTACAAGTATTTCGTATGGTTTTTTAATACCCTGTTTAGTCTGCACGGAGCCGTTTTACGATTTACAGTAAGCTTTGATTAAGCCACTCCAGGCACCAAAGTTAATTATTAACCTAACCTTAAATACAGTGGCAGAACCATGTCTCCACCTATTAACCTAAACTATCTGTTAAAAAATAATTGCACTCACTATTTTAATTTGGTTTACCCCTGCTTGTTTATATGGTAACTTTTATTTGAACCCTGAGCAACCTCTACTCTCTAATATTTCAGTTTTAGTACATTCTTGCATGAGGCACCTTGCAAACCTGAAAGCAGAAAAGAATGAACTATCAGATATAAAACCTCACTTTTGTGTTATGTCTTCTTTCAACCTGATATAAAGAAGCATTCTAGTGCGTGTTTCTTACTTATGATGTGTTTGTGTTTCTTATTTGTGTTCTTTTTACCACAATTTTCCCAAAGTGTTGTATTTTGCAGTTACCGCCTCCTAGAGATGGGCCACATTCTCAGTAATGCACGTAATCCACATGTGTCAGTGTTCAGTAGACACCCCAAATCTTTACCTCAGGAGCCATCTGCAGAATGTACTCATTGGATAGGACATCTTATTGAATAGAACAGGTTAAAAATTTATAAGAATCAGTGTAGAACCTCAACTAAATGTCAAATGAATAAGTGAATAAATGAAGTAGTCACCCTTAGTTCACATTTCTCCACTTAGAGTGAAACTGTTTTTACTTCTACAGTGAAAAAAAAAACTATGCCTTCAAGTATGTGGTTATTATAAAGTGCCAATAAGTGCAACTCTGTTTACACACACATACACACACACACCCCTCAAGTTCTTTCAAAGTCTAGTGAATGCTTTTCCCATCATTAAAAAAATATATAGCATTTGCATTCTGAGTAGGTGGATAACAATGCCAAGAATGTTGAATCAGAAGGATAGCAAGATTAGGAAGAGTTATCTTCACTGAATAAAAATAAGACATCCAAATTAAGAACTTTTATTAAATTCAAAACAAATACTCAGGCTTTAAAAGCAAATGGGTAATTGTACTCTCTTATGAAATGGAGGGGAAAATACTATTTTGATCAAGGTTGTAAGTCAGATACTTAACTATGTGTATAGAGTAGTTGGGCTCTTTTCCAAACAGTACAAAGGAGTGATGACTGGAGAAAAAGTTTTTTTAGAACTAGATGGCCATGAGCTAATGTATTCTCCCATCTTTTGTTGTTGTTGTTGTTTGTTTGCAGAAAGGAATCAGAACAAGCCGAACTCATTGCAAATACTTTAATTAGGCATCTGCCATTTGCTGCAGTGGAGCGCCTGGGAAAGCCTGCCTGTGTCTCTGTGCTCTCCCATCCCCCACACTCCCATCTTCAGATTTAGACTATTGTCCAACTCCCAGAGAGAGTGTTGCCTGGGTGTTCCCACTTCCGGGGGAAGGTGAAGCCTGGAAGCATCCTGCTGTGCCCTCCTGTATTAATAACCTTCCCCCCTGCCTTGAAGCCCAGTTGTCTCTGTGATTTCTATTCCAGAGTGAAGGCTTTTCTCATCTGCCTTCAGTGTGCTACAAAAGCAACTGAGCTATTCTCTGCTGGCAACCACATGATTGCCTCTTGGGGATATGGTAAGGTAGGGAAGGGAGGGAGCCATTTAATCCCTTTGAAATGGGCAAATAAGATATCATACCACACAAACCTCAAGGGGACAAGGGAGTTCAGAATACCCCTCAGCATGGGACTATTACAGTATAGGATATACACTAGAGTATCTTGCTTTGTGATGCCGGTGACTTACTGCAAATTTGTTTTATTAGATAATTCTAATAATTCTCATTACACTAATGAGGAGTGTCACATAAAACTATCAATATTTTCATGTTTCCCAAAAAACCTCTTCCGCCCAGACTTCTCTCCTGTGTCTCTCAAATAGCCAGCGCTTGCAGGGTAGGCGGCTCCTCTTGGACCTCACAGATATCTCAAACTTAGTGTGTTCCAAACATCTAATTTCGCATCTTTCTATCCCAAATAAACTTTTCTTAAAATGTTCTCCATCTTGGTAAATGGCATTTCCATCCTTTGAGTTGCTCAAGCCTAAACTCAGTGGCTTTTACTCTACCCACACCCATTCCAGCTGCAGTGCTGTTCTCCGAGCCCCCAACCCCACCCCTCTGAATGCAGGAAGACTTCCTCCAGGGCTCCCACTTCAGACATTCACACTGGCCCAGCCACTGTGCCCCCTGCTGGGTTATTGTACCTGCCTTCCTGCTTTGCCCTAGGACCCCTGCTGTCTTCACACTGTAGCCAAAGTGATTTTTTTTAAAAGCTAAGCTGGATCTGATCATTTCCATCACTCAGATGCTTTCCCACTTTATTCCACTAAAAGCCAAAGTCCTCCCTATGGCCTTTGGGACCCCACTTTATCTGCACTTGGGTCCCCACCTCTCTGACCTCCATTCCTTCTTGGGCTTACTTGAATATGCCCAGTGTGCCTTTGCACCGTCTTTGTACTGCTCCTTTGTGACTTGGGAAGGGTCTTTCCTAAGATGGCTGCATGATCTGTTCCTCACATTCCTTAGGTCTCTGCCCAGTTGTCACTTTCTCACTGAAGCCCGT